ACACAGCTCAGTGTCCATGGTCACACACAGTTCAGTGTCCATGGTCACACAGCTCAGTGTCCATGGTCACACACAGCTCAGTGTCCATGGTCACACACAGTCCCCACAGCTCGGTGTCTGTGGACACAGACAGTCCAGACAGTCCCATTTTCCCAGTGTCCATGGCACTGCTCCTGTCTCCAGCCCTAACTCAGCTGCTGGAAGTGCAAGAGCGAGGCCACTCAGAGCAGAATTGATTGTTCCTGAGCCTCCCAGAGCTGCTCTCTAGAAAAACAACAGAAAATATGAGAGTGAACTGCCCTTGCTGATTTTGCTGATTCCACTGAATTTCGGATCTAATAATGTCTCCATGTTGCTTCAATTGTCTCTTCTGAGGCACAGCTGTGACTCTCTCCCCTGAGGGGTTGTGGCTGCACAAAGGGAAATAAAACTCAGCCAAGGCATTGGACACAGCAGCCTTTCAATATCCAGCCTGTTCCCTACGTTCATACATCCTGGATCTCCAGCTTCTGTCTCCCTGCCAGAAAGACTCAGAATTGGTTCCTCATTCTCAAAGCTCTGGTGTAACCTGTTTAAAGAGTCTTTTCTCTTGGGATTTAAAGTGACTTTCTGTTGAAGGATGCAAAGTAGCATTCAGTGGAAATGGGTTCATTTCCTGCCTCCTGGATATTCTGACACCATCTTCCACATCTGCCCCATCTAAATTTGGACACCTAAATGAGGTGATGAACCTTGGTGGGGAGTCAAGAGGGGCTGCTAACTGGTGGTCACTGAGACCCTCATAAAGTCCCAGCCATGGGAAGGTCCCTGTGAGCCTGTGATCCCTGTGGTCCCTGTCCCACTGATAGTAGAGACATCCTCTCACCTTTGGTACCTCAGACACTCCCACTGGTTTTACATCCAGACCTCAAGGCTGAACAAGGCATTTGGGCCCCTTTATTTAGAGGATCTTTTAGTGCCACATCCAATTCTATTATCTGTGGGATGAACAGAACTGTGCTGGCTATGAGGAGCCCTGGAAAACCTTGGGTGGGTGGGTGAGTGGTCAACCAACCTGCTCTTCATCCAGACCCTTCTCCAGGTCCAACAGTGCTGACTGGAGCAGGTCAGCGATGCTGAGGGTTTATTTTCCTCCTGCAGTTCACACACAGAGCCCAGCTGTGAGTCAGGCCCCCCTTTGGGTAAGTGCAGGTGGGAAAACATGTCTGGACACATGTTTCAGAGAGAACTGAGTCCTTGAGAGCTTGAGGGTTAAACTGTTTGTCTCATTCTGCTGGCACAACCTCTGCACTTTTGTTATCGTATTGCTAGGTACAAGGGGGTTAGCATCCAGCTCTTTGCTTCAAGGAGCTCTCTGCCTCCTGGACCTGCTTTGTATTTGTACCCAGGGCACCAGTGAAACATTTGCTGCCCCTCGTACAAGGGCACAGTAATTTGTTTCCTGGACATCCCCTTGTCATTCAGTCTGACAGTTCTCCTCCCCACGGAGCTGCTGGCTTCCCCGTCTCCTCTGAGGCAGTGGAGCTGCCAAAGTCCATCTCAGTCCATCTGGACTGAAAACTTCTCTCTGGCATTGTCCCCCATCTGGGTGAGAGGAATGTCGAGATGAAACGCAAGAGCTCCCTCGGTCTGGCAGTTCTCCAAGGGAGGGGGGAGCCTGCCCTGTGTCCCTGCCCTCCACACGTGCTGGGTGCCCTGCAGGTCCCACTGCACAGCAGGAGGACAGACAGTCACTGTCAGTGCAGGGCAGCACAGTGAGCTGGGAGCAAAGGACATGGGAGGGGATAGGGAATGGCATGTGGGAGCTGAGGGAAAAAGCACATCCATCCTGTGTTAGGGAGAGAAGGTTTGAACTCTGGAGTGAGACCAGCATAAAGCACAGGGCAGGGGGCAGAGGGAGGTGATGCTCCGTGCTGAGATTTAAAGTAAATAGCTTGGGACAGGCCTGCTGAGTGAGGGAAAGTCTGAACCTGAGCTGACTGGGTCAGGTCTGGCTCTCATGTCTGTGCCCCTGTGCTGTCTCTGCCCTGCATCGGAGCAGCCTGTGCTCAGACTCCAGCCCAGCTGCTTGCCCAGAGCAGCATGTGACAGGCCGTGTCTGAGGGTTAACAAGGACACAGGAGAATTAATCACAGTGGAAAAAAGAACTCTGTCGTTGCAAAGCAACCCTATTCCTGGAGAAGGAGTCGTCTCTGGTCGTGGATATCTGCAGTAGCTCGTGAGCAGGGACTCTCTGGGTCATAGCTGACTGCAAGGACTGATGCAAACACAGTGCAGGGACAGCTGGTGTGACTTGGGAGCCTCTTTTGTCTGATAATGGCACTGCTGAGCTGTCCCAGCCTGTTCTCACCAATAACAAATCAAATCTTTACCAGTGCCTAGGATGCACAGGATGTGCTCCTTTACCCTTCTGAACTGTGCCTTAAGCATGAGATGGTTTGTAGTCCTCAAGCCCTGCCCCAGCCCCAAATCCAAAGGTTTCTGAGCCTCTGCATCCTCCTCGATGCTCTCAGGGCGGTGCTCAGTCCCATTTGGACCAGCAGCTCCATAACCTCACTCCCAGAGCATCCAGACAGAGCATCTCTCCATACAAAAACAACTGCAACTTTTTGTTCTCTGGCCACGATTTCTGACTTCTGCTGCTTTTTGTTCGGGTTTATTTTATTCTCATCATAAATAAAGAAAACAAACTAGTGCAAAAAATGGTCTGAAATGACTAAAGTTGCATGGCAGGAGATGTGGCACTGGAACAAGGAAAACATTCTCATGGGGTTTTTTTCTGAGTAGAACTGGTTTATGTCAGGGTCAGACTTTGCCTCACTCAGCAGGCCTGCCCACAGTATTTACTTAAAATCTCAGCAAAGTGCATTAACACAACATTAAAGCAGAGATAGGAGCCCAGGGAGAGCAAATGGGCCCGGGGGTGCTCTGGGCTGGAGCAGGGAGTGCTCATTGCAGGCTGTGCTCTGCCCTGGTTTGGGCAGCCCTGGAGATGGAGGATGTGTGGAGCATTCCTGCTCCCTCTGGCACTTCATTTGGTGTTGGCATTTGTCCTGTGCAAGGGCTGGAGAACAAGCCCCACTGCACAGCCAGCAGGGGCAGCTCATTGTGGGGGCCATGGTCTCCCTGTCCCTCCCCAGGGTCGTGCTGTCAGGACAAACCTGACAAGCCTGAGCCTCGATCCTCAGGGAGGGGCATCACCATGGGTGTGTTCTGACCATCCCAGGGGCTCTGCTCTGCCCCAGCCCCATTCCTCACGGAGAACCTGCTTGGACCAGAGGCTGTTCCTGCAGCCAGAAATGCAGGGCTCAGAGGAGCAGCCCAGGGTGGGGGGTCACCTTGATGCACTTCAAGGCACTGGGAAATCTCTGCCTCCCTTAAAGGATCTTTGCTTGCCCCAGACAGGCTGAGCTTGGCTGGGGCTGCTCCTCCAGCCCCAGTGCTGGGCAGGGAACCCCCTTCCCTCTGAGGGCTCAGGCAGATGTTCCTCCACATCCCCAGAGCACAGATCCCGCTGGCAGAGGTCCTGGAGAGGAGCTGTCTGTGCATCCCTGGGTCACCCTGTCTGTGCATCCCTGGGTCACCCTGTCTGTGCATCCCTGGGTCAGCCCTTCCACGCCAGCTCCCCTCTCCCCTCTCCCATCCTTCCAGCACCACTTCTCCCAGCATCTCCCTTGTTCACTTTGGGCCCTTCCTGCAGAGCATTTGTCCACAGTCTGAGAGGAGATTCAGAGCTGGAGAGAGGATTTAAATGACTGATGTTTTTACCCCAACAAATCTACTCCAGCCTGCAGGGGCTCAATGCTCCCTTTGGCATTTTTTCACCAGGAAAAACATTTACTTTGGGAGAGGAAAGAGGAAAACAGAAAATAAGCCCATGTTCACAAGTCTAAAAAATAAAGAATGGACGAAGAAATCCTCTGGTGCCTTTTAGGATGATTTCATATCTAAAGGAATGAATCCATAATACAATAGTGCTGATTCTGACATTCGAGTATTTACAGTGGGATCTTTTGCAGGTGGAACTTTGGAGAAAAAAAAAAAAAAAGAAAAAAAGAACAGCTCAGAGGGCAAAGGTTTTGTTTAAAAATGTACAACAAACTGTAACTTAGCACCAAAGAGTGAGAAAAGCAGTTTATTGGCTTCTCACAAGCACTTGAGTATCAAGACATCCCAATGAGGAATTAATGCATTTCAGGAAAAACTCTGAGCAAGAAACTGTCTTTGTTAAACAAACCTTCCCTTTTGCCTGGTTGGTAAATGGTAGAAAGGGACACAAAGCCAAGCGTGGGAAGGAGAGAGAGGCTCCAAAGGGGCAAAGCCCAGATTTTGTGCTGTTGGAAGTTCAAGGTTGAGGTGTGGGAAAAGGCATCTGCGGCTGCAGGGACAGACCATGGGCTGTGCACAGACTCCAGTGCCAGCTCTGAAACACAGGAATGGGGGACAAGGACAAGGGGGAATGACATTCAGCTGATGGAGGGCAGGTTTATATTGGATATTAAGGCAAACTTCTTTACTCAGAGGGTGGGCAGGCCCTGGCACAGGTTGCCCAGAGAAGCTGTGGCTGCCCCAGCCCTGGAAGTGCCCAAGGCCAGGTTGGACAGGGCTTGGAGCAACCTGGGCCAGTGAAAGGTGTCCCTGCCCATGGCAGGGGGTGGCACTGGATGGGCTTTAAGGTCCTTCCAACCCAAACCATTCCCTGATTCTGTGGAAAAGGCTCCTGCAGTGTCAGCAGGACCTGGAGTGCCCCGTGCTGTGCTGGGAAGATCCTGGAGCTGGAGAACAGGGGAGGTTTCCCCCTGCTCCGCAGCCAGAGCTGTGTCGGGGTGTCCCTCTCGTCGCTCAGCACAGGAGTTGCTCCCCAGCCCTGTGGAGGGCGTGGGGGCCGGGGCCGTGCCCGGAGCACTGGCACTGGGGCAGATTTGGGCGCGGCCCGGGGGTGGCTCAGCTGGGGTGTTGCCTCGGTGGTAACTCTGCTTTTCCCCGTTCTCTCGTTCCAGGGCCGCTGCATCAACTTCACCAGAGTGAAGAACACCGAGGCCCCCCCCAAGTACCCCCTCAACAACTCGTACCCCCCGTCAGCTCCCCCCCCGGCCCCCATCTACACCCCCCCGCCCCCGGCCCCCATCTACACCCCCCCTCCGCCCAGCTCCCCCACCCCCCACCCCCCCTCCCCGTCCTCCACCCTCCCCCCGCTGCCCCCCCCGCCCCAGGCCCCCCCCCCCAACCGGGCCCCCCCTCCCTCCCGGCCCCCCCCTCGCCCCACAGTCTAGGGGGGGTCGGCCTCGCTCCCGTCTCTTCCACGAGTGTCCCAGAGGCTCTTCCAGCAGTACTGTATCACATCCCTCCTGGGGGGAAGGGGGCAGAGGAACCGGAGCCTTCCTGGGACGGGTGACAGCAGAACCAGTGACTCCGTAGTCGTCTTTCTCCTTTAGTTTTCTCCTATTTTTTGACTCCCTTGTGCATTGGTGCCACCAAACTATCGCAGCAAGAAAAGCCAAGAGGCTGCAGGAGCAGGACAAACTCCTGAGTTCCATTCCAGCAAGGCTCTCCCCACTCCTGGTCCCCCTGTGCCCCATCATGGTGATTCCAGGACACACTGGAAAGAAGGAATGGATAACTAGAGCGAGCTCTTTACAAAGGAAGTTCTCCCCGGGGAAGGACTGCAAAAGACTCTTCCAAGTGCAGACATCCCAGCCAGCAACCTGGAGACAGCTGCACAAATGTCCTGGGACAAGGTTGGATGTGTGGCAGGACACTGATCCCCTCCTCCTCCTGCACCACCTGCCAAGGGAACGGTGACGACAGCACTCTGCCAGCACAGGAACCCTCTAAATGTGGGGAGAATCACTCACAGGCACCTGTTCCCACGGACCAGGAGCTGGAGATGGGAAGGTATTGGCATCTCAGAGGGTCTGGAAAGGAGAAGGGGTAGGTCTCCGGGGTGTGGATCCGAGGATGTTGGTATGTGGAAGTGCAGGTGGATGAAAATGGAGTGTAACAAGGAAGATAAAGCAGTCAGGGCATCACAAGGCTGTGACCCCATCCCTGAGGACACCAACAACTGGGGACAGGGCAGCCTGCAGTGCTGCCAGTGGGACAGAGGAGGTGGCAAACGTTGAGGAATCTGAGAAAGGTAAGGTTGGCAGGAGAGCCTTTGTGTTCAGTTTAGACAATTATGTACATCCAGTCAATCACCCCACAGCTCTGAAGTGTAATTTAATGTTTCCACTTTAAAGGAGAAGATTCTGAATACAAACCAGAGGTTTGGTGTATCGAGGTCTCCAAATCCAGTCTGCTTGGGCTCCTTGTTCTTGACAGTTTGAAATGGTCACCACTGATGCCTTCCTGTTTCTGTAAATCCCGTTCTTTTGCCCTAGAAATGTTTTCATGTGGATTTTTGTGTTTTCCTTTCCTTTCCTAAATAAGTAGCAGATGCTTCCCAAACTGGGAGTGAAGAAGAGCCAGTGTGCTTACTCACTCCTGTCAGCTCTCCACAGCATCACTCCCATTAGCAGTTGTTGACTAAGGCAAAACTCAGCCCACGGGACTCTCCAGATGGGAATCAGTCTGCCAAGGAATGCACTGGCTGCATTTCTCCTGCTTTCTCCTCACCTCCACGAGACCCCCACCACATCCCTCTGCATCACTCGTGCACACCTGTATCCTACAGCAAACCTGAGCACCTGCCTTTGCATCCCAGAGCCAGAGACGGGTGGGACCACTCAGCATTCCAGCCAAACCTCTGGCTCCCTGGGTTCCTGTCGGGATTAGTTCTCACAAAGCTCTGTCTCTAAGTCATAAGAGATGGACCATCTTTGTAGCTGCAGTTCTGTGGATAGCGAAGGGTTGTCACCTCGTTTTTTACCAGATAAAGAAATGCTTTGCCAAGTACTTCCTTCAGTGCTGTTGGATATATTAATTCTAGCTTTTTCTAGCAAAACAAGAGAAAAAAAGGAAAAAGAAAAAAAATTGCTCAAGGAGGAAAGGGAAGAGAGGAAAGAGACTCAGTGGAGACTTACCCTGGGCCCCTTTGGGTGGGGACAGGAGGGAGCCCTCAGCACGAGGCTCTGGGTCACTGTCACACACCAGCTTCACCCTCCCCAGGGTCAGGGTCAGGTCTTAGGTGAGATGAACACCCGTCACGATGGACCCCAGGATCCAGCCCCCAGCCAGGGCTGGCTGTCCTTCCCTAAGGCTCCTCAGCTCCCCCCACGCTGCTCTGGCTGCAGGCAGCACGGAGCAGTGCCCAGCTGGGAGCAAAACCACCAGTTCTGCTGCTCGCCCCTTCAGGTTTATCAGCTCCAGGCCGTGGTTGGTTCCACAGGACAACTTTGTGGTTGGCAGGTGGGAGGGAGAAGCTTTAACACCCTGACACAAGTTTGGTTGGATTCCCTCGTGGGATGGACGGGATCTGGTTAGAAAAAGAGCTGTTTGGTTTGGTTTCATGATGGAAGGTGTAAAAACTGGGAATGGTGTAATACAGGATCAATAGATACGGCCCTAACAGATCCTCAGTATTCCAAAAAGGATGGAAAGGAAGTTGATTTTCAATATGGCATTGGGAATTTTATTTTTTAAGTGTCAATTAACCAATAAATTAGTTAATTGGTTAATTAACCAATAAACCTACTGCTGGGGGAAAAATAAAAGCAGTGTATTCTCCATGACTTCTTGCAGATGTATAGAGAAATATTCGTTCTCCCCAAAGTAAGGGAAAAAACCCTACGGATTTAAAGAAGCAAAATAAAGCCTAGGTCAAGCCTAGGCTAGAAAAACCCTGATTTTCAAATACCCCCTATGCAATCATCCAGTTCGTGAATGAAAAACAAGCTCCAAATTTTTTGTTGTACATATTGTTGCTGCATGCTTACCATATGTTAGATGGAAGCATTTCCTATCCCTTGTGGATAAAAGAACATTTTTCAAGTTGTAGTAAATTATTCTAAAGCCAATGACATTTCATGGCATGTTATCGTATCAAGCTGTGCTTGTTGTATTTTTTCTTTACGGTTGTATTGCTTTGTTTTATAAATGTACAAATATTTCCCGTAGTGACGAACACCTGTTTTACATGGCATTAATTGAGGCACTGCAGCTCCAGGCCACACACCCCCTTGCTCCATTGGCAAAGGGGTCAATCTGGGGTGGGGTCCGGCCAGAGCACAGTGGGGGACAAAGCCAAGCACTCCCAGTCTGCAGTGGGTTGGCTTTGGAGACACTTCCTAACGTTCTCAGAAAAACTGAGAGCATGTTTGGTGGTGAATTTTGTACCTGATTTGTATTTAGGAAAGAATTCCTCCCTGTGAGGGTGGTGGGGGGCTGGGATGGAGTTCCCAGAGAAGCTGTGGCTGCCCCATCCCTGCAAGTGTCCAAGGCCAGGTTGGAGCACCCTGGGCTTGTGGAAGGTGTCCCTGCCCATGGCAGGGGGTGGCACTGGATGGGCTTTACAGTCCCTTCCAACCCAAACCATTCTGTGATTCTGTGATTTAGGATCAACCTACATCTGGCTGCAGAAATGGCTCCCAAAAGTACCACACGTGCCTTTAAAATCTGAGCTCCCTTTGCGCCAGATCCTAAAGACTGACTTAGGAACTTAATGTAAGGCCATCAAGGGTGAAAACTTGGTCCTGAAATAAACTCAGCTCGCACTGCCAATTAATGCTGTTGTAAATGAGGGTGGATGCTGGAGCACCGTGCCCTGCCGTGTGGTGCCCTACGTACTCTGTGTCTATAAACCTGTCCTGGAACACGTTGTGTTGCCGTCAGTCCACACCAGCCAAATCCCAAGGAAATGTTCATTCCAGAGCAAAAGGGCCTGAGTGATGCTGCAGCTGCTCTGCCATCTCAGAGACCCCAGCAGGTCTCACTGGTTACCAGTTGCTCCAGTCTGGGCTGGTCTGAGCAGCAGTAAAAGGTGTCTGATGGCACCAAACCACTAACCAGTTGTTTGGTTTGCTCTGAACAGGTCACTTCGATTCCTCCCGGTGTTTCTCATTCGTTCAAAACTCTCTGTCAGTGCCTCACAGCCTCAAAGGGCTGAGCAACTGTGTTTGACAAAGAGGTAGATTATGTTTTATTTTAATTGCCGGAATGTCACAGATTGTTGCTGGCTGCACTTTGAAGTGCTCACCCACATGAACTTTGCAGTTGCCCGAATTCCCTCCCTACTCCTTGGTGTGTGCAGGCATCTTCTGCACTGTGTATTTTGGGGAAGGGGGGTGTCTGGCTTCTGAGGGCTCTGGCAAGACGTGGGGTAACCAGTCGGGGATGTTGACCTGTGTGTGGTGCTGATGCAGGGAAGAAGCAGAATCGACCCTGTTGTGCTGTTGAATTCCATGTTGTCAGCTCAGCCAGTGATGTTTTACTCCCTCTGTTTGTTGCATGTGTCGTGTTAAATTCAGTCATTACTCTTGCTGCCCTTGATGTTACTATTAAAGAACTACACCAGTCTGGGCTGGGCTCTGTGCAGTTCCTTGCCGAGGGAAAGCAAATGAAGCAGAAGAATCCTGGGCAACAGGTTTTCTCAAAAACTTGCTTTTTGTTATCCTGGGGAGCTCAAGCTTGGTGATTTTCTTCCCAGAGCATTTCTGCCTGACATAAAGGCTGTTTTCACTGGGATGTGACACAGCCCAAACTGTCACCTCCTCTCCTGGTCCCCAGAGCCTCCCAAACTCCCATTTCACACATGAGCCCTTCCCAGAGGCACTTAGAACAGAGCACAGCCATCAGAAATAACCAGTCTTAACTATTACTAACTCATCTGGGTTTTGCTATGGTTGGAATAGTTTATTCCATAAAGGAGATTAATGGAGCATGAAAAAGTTCAGCCTCAGCACCTACCCTCTTTCAGCCAAGCACACACATCCAGGCTTTTACCTTCCTCTGGAAAGGTGAGCTGGCACTTCCCTCAGCATGTCCAACCTGGCAAATATGGTCTCAGCCTGCATTTTTCTTACTGTGTTTTATTTAAGTCAAACTTGTAAATGCAGAGAGGGAAGTCACAGTGCTCAGCAGGTCCTGCTCTCACCCAGACAAAAGGTGCTTTTTAAACCAAGGCTCAAACAAAATCAGTTGCTTTGCTTAGAAGGGACAGGTGAAAAAAAACCACAGGGGAAGTTAAACGTGAGCTCAGGAGAGACAATGCAAACAAACCCACCTCGATGGCAGCCCGGGGTCTGTCAGGATGTGGAATTCCACAGAATTGGCCAAATGGAATCCCATCACTACATGGAGGAAAAACAAACAGGGAAGCAGTGGGACCAGGGAGGCTGGTTTGCCTTCCCATCAGCTGCCTCAGGAAAGCCTGGGCCTGTCCCAGGGACCCCTCTGTGCTGATCCAGCCCAGGCTGCAGCACCAGGCAAAGAACGGGGCAAAGTTCCCCAGACAGGACATTATTTGGGAGTGAAGGTGTCCCAGAGCAAAGGGGGACACGGCTGGGCTGGAGCCCTGAACACGAGGCCTCACCCAGGTTGGGTGATCCACACCAGTTTGGGCTCACTCTCACCAGTCTGGGCTCACTCTCACCAGTCTGGGCTCACTCACACCAGTCTGGGCTCACTCACACCAGTTTGGGCTCACTCTCATCAGTCTGGGCTCACTCTCATCAGTCTGGGCTCACTCACACCAGTCTGGGCTCACTCACACCAGTCTGGGCTCACTCACACCAGTTTGGGCTCACTCTCACCAGTCTGGGCTCACTCTCACCAGTCTGGGCTCACTCACACCAGTTTGGGCTCACTCTCACCAGTCTGGGCTCACTCACACCAGTTTGGGCTCACTCTCACCAGTCTGGGCTCACTCTCACCAGTCTGGGCTCACTCACACCAGTTTGGGCTCACTCTCACCAGTCTGGGCTCACTCACACCAGTTTGGGCTCACTCACACCAGTCTGGGCTCACTCTCACCAGTCTGGGCTCACTCTCACCTGCCCCACAAGGATTCCCAGCTGGAACAGGGCCAGGCTCCCAGTCTGGGCTCCTTGGGGGTTGGGGACTCTGTGTCTGTGTGAGGGGGTTTTGGGGCTCTGTGTCTGTGTGAGGGGGTTTTGGGGCTCTGTGTCTGTGTGAGGGGGATTTTGGGGCTCTGTATCTGTGTGAGGGGGTTTGGGGGCTCTGTGTCTGTGTGAGGGGGTTTTGGGGCTCTGTATCTGTGTGAGGGGGATTTTGGGGCTCTGTGTCTGTGTGAGGGGGTCTGGGGGCTCTGTGTGTGAGGGGGTTGGGGGCTCTGTGTGTGAGGGGTTTTTGGGGGCTCTGTGTGTGAGGGGTTTTTGGGGGCTCTGTGTCTGTGTGAGGGGGTTTGGGGGCTCTGTGTCTGGGTGAGGGGGTTTTGGGGCTCTGTGTCTGGGTGAGGGGCCCGGGGGTGGTGGCACAGTGCCTCGGGCACCAGCTCGTCTGTGGAGCGAGGAAGAGGAGGAGGCCGGGCCGGGCCTGGGGCAGCTGGAAGGAACAGAAATGGTGAGTCCTGGCTGGGCTTTTCCAGGGATTTCCCTGTTTTCTGTGCAGAGGCTGCGAGGGAAGGGGCTGCTCTCTCCTGGGCTCTGCCCCCCGGACAGAGGCTGAGCTGCAGAGCTGGGACTGGGAATGCTGCCCTGGCACAGGAGGCACGGGGGGTGCAGGGACAGACCCCGGCAGGGTGGGTTTGGGGGCTGCTCCCAGTGCCCTGCCCGGGGTGTTCCCCCCAGGGCTCACCTGCCCTGAGAAAGCTGAGGAGTTCCTCACTTCGAAGGGAAAGAAATTGCTTTTTTTCCCTCTAAACCTGGCAGAGAAAACCCCTCTGAGCCACAGAAAAGGGTTTGTGTGGGGCTGCTGAAAACACTGAGGACACTCAGACCCAGAGCATCCTCTCTCTGTCGTGGTTGCTGGAGAGTGCAATGCACTTTTTTGAAGAAACAGCTATAAAATAACTTGTGGAAATAACACAAGCTACAAAATAAATAATGTTGGACACAGATGGTGTGTCCTGTGTGACACAGACAGTGAAAGTCTGTAGCACATTGCCAGAGCAAATTTGAGATTACTTAAATATTTTTAATACTGAAATGCTTGGAAGGGTCCTTCCTGCTATCGGGGGAAGGGAAAACACCTTGGAAAGGCCCAGAGCACCAGGGAAGGTGTTTTCTTGTGCCACCAGGTCAGTGCAGATGCCCCCAGCGTGGGGTGTCCCTGGTGGGGAAGCTCTGTCCCCTCCACCCCGGGCGCTTCCTGGCTCACGGTGTGTGTGCAGCCCAGACTGGGATTGTTCTAGTTCCCCACAGACATTGAGCTGTGGGGCCTTTTCCAGAGCTGGAGGAATTAACAGGGATGGAGAAACGATAGCATGCAAAAATACCACAGGGAGTGGAAAACTGAGCTGAGCAATGAGGTAACTTTGACTCGCAGGAAAGCCGGGGTTTCGATATCCCACATTCCATTCCCACTTCAAATCCCTCCTGGCACCTCCTCGGGGTGTGTGTCTTCAGCTGCTCCCACGAGGTGCTCTGTGCTTCTCTCTTCTTGCCTGTTTGTAACCTGGGGGCAGCTGGGAATGGGGTGTGGGGACCCTTCCTCCAGGTATTCCTTCCTCAGTGGAAAGTCTCTGGGAAAGTAGAAGCCAGGCAGGAATAGGGAATGTCTGCATTCCTTCAGTCTATTCTTGGTCATGGCTGACATGAGAAATGAGAGCACCTTTGGCCTCAGGAAGGTTTGTCTGCCTGTCAGAATTGCCACATAACCTCCCATCGTGCCACTGCTGTGACTCGTGTGGGCAAACCTGGAGCTGTTTTAGAGACAAGCTGGGAAAAAAATCCTCTGGGAAAGTGAGATTTTTTTTTTCCTGATCTTGGCTCTGCAGTGCCTGAGTTCAGACAAAATGAGAATTTCTGTACATTGCCCAATTGGACTGAAGTGGCTGAGGAGAAGGCTGGGATTGATTCCCAGGTTTTATTTAAGGTATTTATATATAAATAGATATAATTTTATTTAAGGTATCAGGGTACTCGTAAGCTTGTGATATAAATAAATATATTTTTATATATAGAAATATTATTTTATTTAAGGTATCAGAATGCTTGTGAACTTGTGATTTAAATAAATAAATATATATATATATAAATACTATTTTATTTAAGGTATCGGGGTGCTTGTGAGCCCTTGAATACCTTCAGTGAAAGGATGCAGGGACGAAATGCCCTCACCATGGGGGCTGTGCCTCCCCCTCCCTGCTCCAACGGCACAGACCCCGTAACCACGGCAACGGCAGATGTGGAAAAAACTGCTGGGAATGAATGGGAGGTATTTTTAACTGTGTCTAATGCAAGGGAGCCAACGCGGGCAGCATTCCATGGACTGCCAGAACAGATCCCACGGGGCAGAACTTGG